ATAATGAATCAACAGTATATATTAAATAGGGTTTCTTTAAACAGAAACATATACAAATCAAGGCTATGTATTGATTAGTTGATGAAAAGATGCTTGCAGGGACCTAACCCTGTATTTTCCCTAAGAGCAGTGGTTCATTATTTGCTAACTTAGTATTTGCATTGACTTTATAGAACGTAACTATGGTGAATAATGAGAATCAAGAATCGACTGCATCTGTAAAGCCTTTTCTAGCTCATGAGTGAGCCATGGAAAATACTATGTATCCTAAAAACCACATGCAGAAACAGGCCTGTCAGTGGACTGATTAAAGTGTAGTCAATAAAAGAGCTAGAATGTCAGAATATTTTGAAATACTGATGTAAAATCACCTGCAATTAACAATGAGCCCAAGACAAAAACATAAAAGCCCATCTTTAAAATTTTGGTTTTAAAGTGTTGGTGAGGCAAAGACAATAAAACTTAGTAACTGTATGCTAAATTAAAGCAATAATTTTTTACCATTGGGAGTGGCTATAAATGCTTTTCTGAAATTTAGGAGAAGTTCAGGTGTGCTAATTGTTACAATCCTGATATATTAGTGCCTGTAAGATAAAGATAAGTACTTCTACAGATTTATATTTATAAATTAAGTATTGGGAGAGGTAGAAAAGATAGATGGGGTAGAGTCAGTAGAACCAGAAGTTGGAGTCTAGAGAGGTTTTTTTTGAAGGTCCTGATATATTAGTGCCTGTAAGATAAAGATAAGTACTTCTACAGATTTATATTTATAAATTAAGTATCGGGAGAGGTAGAAGAGATAGATGGGGTAGAGTCAGTAGAACCAGAAGTTGGAGTCTAGAGAGGTTTTTTTTGAAGGAAATAAGCTTGTAGTTTGGGTAGGAGGGAAGAAGAGAATCCAGGGGAAATGAATACAAGGGTATTAGCTTGTGTGGAGCAGAGCAGTGGTTCCCAAACCTGAGAATCTGAGTCAGGTTTTTGGAACTGTTGAATGGAGAGTACAAAGCAGGGTATGAAAGTATTACAATGAGTCTAGATGGGTCCAGTTGGTAAATACCAGTAAAGATCAGGTGTGCAAGTTTGACTAAAGAGGCCCTTGGAGCCCCTGCAAGCTTTTGAGAAAGTGAATGAATGCCAGGTTCAAAACAATATTTTAAGAAAATGGTTCTTGCTTCTGTGACAGTTTGCTGGGGAAAGAGGAACATACATAATTCAGTGACAGTTGTTCATAAGAATGATGTCTTTGTGTATATTTTTCTGTTATCAAAGTGCTTCTGCAAATGTTCCTTGAACACTCCTGTGAGGTAGCTTTCTTTATTCCCATTCTTCATAAGAGAAGATGGAGGCCCTGGTTGTTGAGTAACTAGTTCAGGGTCACACCGCTGTTTAATGGCTGGCTCGAGATTCAAACACCTTTGCTGCACCTCAGCAGTTTCAGTTAAGGATTTGGACAGGAATTGTTGTTGGAGGTTTGGAGAAGGAAAGAGTTGATTGTTCCTTCTAATAAGAACTGATTTAAAGTATTGGCCTAAGACCAGTTACAGCCAAAATTACAGAGAAAAATTTTGTTGACATTGGAAATAACATGATGAAATGCTTCAGAAAATCTTCTAAAAGTTTGCATTGTCTCTACTTGTAATTTCCTCTTGCTTTTTTCTCTTTTTTTCCCTTTTTTCTCCTTTTGGCCCTGAATTTATAGAAGTTTCATCTTATCCCCTATTTACATTTTTAGGAAAGGAACATCTGACATTGAATGATTCTGGTAAATCTGTCAGTAAAACAAAACACCGGTAACTGTCTCTAATTTGAAAAACCATTACAACAGATTAAACCTCAGCTGAAATAAAATATTTTCAGCTCTACTTTTCATTTGAAATATAAGGTGTTATGAATGGCCTATTAGGAACTGTGAGACACTTTAGTGAGCATCTGTAGGTTTAAAATTCTAAAGTCTTTCCACACCCTACCCTTGCCCCTTCCTGCCTACTCATGAGGAAATGAAGTTTCAGATTCAACTTAATATCGAGCTAGACATACTGCAAGGTACGTTTGTTAATTTTTTTTTAAATCTGGAGAAGTAGGGATTTTTATGTTTTATAGAAGAGGCAACCACGGCTCACAGGGATTATTATCTAATATGTAGCTTATGAACAGCGGAGCCAAGAGTCCAATCATTTCTGACTCCAAATACATAGCTCTTTTCACAATATGCTATGTTTTAGTTGGTTCAAGACTAGGTCATGTAGTGTTAGAGATAGAAGGCATCTTGGAGATATTCACTTTACCCTTTCACCCTATAAATAAGCATGGATTCTGAAGTTGAGCTGCGTGTGTTCAGATCCTAACTCTGCTGTTTATTAGCTACGTGACATTGGGAATTTGCTTGTCCTATTCATAGCTAAGTTTCCTTATCTGTGTAAATGTATGCCTAGGTCATTGGGTGGTAAATTTGAGGTTTAAGTGAGTTCATATATATAAAGTACCCGGAAAAGTGCCTGGCACATAATAAGTGCTCATAAGTATTACTAATAATTGCTATGAGGAAACTGTGTCACAGAGATTAAATTACTTGTAAAGACCATATTAGAGTAGCTGAGTTTAAACTAAAATTCAGATCTTTGACTGCTAGTACTATACATTATGCTTGGCAAAGTATTTTCAAACAATTTTTGTATCCAGTCCTACTATGGCCCTATAAGGTCTACAGTTCAAGCAGAGGAAAACCTTGGATCCTCCAGAGCTGGTTTCTAGAATAGAGATTTCCAGCACTGTGTTCATGGATGTCATTTATACCATGGAATGTATTTCAGGTTCATAAAACAAAGCAGGTTTCTCATTTAGCAAGACAGTGCTCTCTCCCTTTCTCCAGCCTGGCCTCTCACTTTCACCAAAGACCTTTCTGAGGTCAGCTAATGCCAGAGGGAAAAACTGAATCTCAGGCATAGCTCCAACAGCCATTTAATTTCTCTTTTGTCTTGGAAATCAAGTTTCCCACGTGTGTTTTCCCACCGTAAAAGGAACTGTCCATTTCTTCATCCTTTGGGGAATGTTGATAGTCGCAGTACTGCTTACTATAAAGGGATTCTGTGAAGATCAAATAAGTCAGTGTTTATGAAAAGGCGTTGCAAACTATAATTTGAATGGTAATTTAATTGTAAAATGCCAGAAGTCTGCTTATTTTGTCTCTCTCCCCAGAGGGAGCCCATACCCCCTGCTTGAGTCAGCTATTACCAGATTTCTTTTAATCCATGGAGCCAGGCATAGGCAGGAGTACATCTTATCATTGGAGAGATGAGTGTGGGGAGGCTTGGTCCTGGTCCCATTTTGGAAGTTCTCCTTCCATGTGCCCCATTCTGGTAGAATTTCTAAAACTTAGATACTAAAAGAAAACTTTTCCTCTATACTCATGAGACTTCTAACACCAAATGCATGGGTTTTCCACACCAAGCAAATTCTCCAGTTTTTTATGGACATCAGCTAGGTGTCCTACAATTTAATTCAATTATGACACTAACTACCAAGAGTTAGTGCAGACTCCACACGTTAATGGCTCAGTCCAACAAGATTGCCCCCAACTTCAGACACTGGTCACAAATTAGTGGGTCCCCAGTTAGCCACACTTCTGTGTAACTCAGTTACAAATTGGGATTCCCGTGACCCCCTTCTCTGGTTTAATAATTTGCTAGAATGGCTCACAGAACTTAGGGAAACACTTTATTTATTACTACTATTATTACAAAGGTTATTATAAAGGCTTCAAATGAACAGCCAGATGAGAGTCACCCAGGGTGAGGTTTGGAAGGCTCTAGAGTGTAGTAACTTCTGTCCCTGTGGAACTGGGGTGTACCAACCTCCTGACATGTGGATGCATTCACCAATCCAGATGGGATATTGTGATATAAGCAATATATTTTGGTCTTTATCCCTGTTTCCTGGCACAGATCTCCCAAAATCCTTTGGAAGTTGTAGGGTTGAGAGGAGTGTCTTTTGTTATCACAATAAGCCCCTTTCAACCATACTAAGTTTATGCTAATGAGATGACTCTTGGAGGATGGGGGCTGGTTGCCAGAGGAACAACCCTGTGAATAGAAGGTTGGAACTTGTCAGCTTCTCCCACTACACTCTGACCTTGAGGAGGGGAGAGGGACTTTAGATCGAGTTAATCACCGATGGCCAATGATTTATCAATCTACCTACGCAATGAAGCCTCCATAAAAATCCTAAGACGGGGTTTGGAGAGTTTCCAGGTTGGTGAACACATCAAGTGTTTGGAGGATGGCTTGCCTGGAGAGGGCATGGGAGCTCCATGCACCTCCCACCCCCATACCTTGTCCTATGCATGTCTTCCATTTGTCTGTTCCTGAGTTGTATCCTTTATAATAAACTGGTAAGCATAAGTAAAGTGCCTTGCTGAGTTCTGTGAGCCATTCTAGCAAATTACTGAACTGAGGAGGCAGTTGTGGGAACCCCAGTTTTTAGCCAAGTTGAACAGAAGTGTGAGTAGCCTGAGAACACACTACTTGCTGTTGGCATCTGAAGTGGGGGACAGTCTTGTTTATGAGAAGCTTTCTCAACTCTGTCATTTAGGGTTTTTATGAAGGTTTCATTATGGCATGATTGATGAAATCATTAACCGTTGGGTGATTAATTAAATATTTAGCCCCTTTCTCCTCATGGAGGTGGTGGGGTTAGTAGAGGTCAGGGGATGGATGTGATAGTTCCAACCGTACTCATAGGGTTGGTTCCACTGGCACAAGCCCTCCATCTTCTAGTAGTCACCTTATTAGCATAAACTCAGGTATGGTTGAAAGGGCCTTATTATGAGTAACAGAACACCCCTATCTCTCAGAAATACTAAGGGTTTTAAGAGCTCTGTGCCAGGATCCAGAGAGGAAGACCAGATATATATTTCTTATTATATTACAATGTCACAGGTACACTCTTGGCCTTCTACATACAGAGTGTGATATAATTTCCTGACTATTTTTTTCTTTCTCTAGAAGAAGCAGACTAGCATTTCCCAGTGGGTTCCAGTATGCAGCCGATTGGGACCTGTGTCTCCTACCCAAGGACAGTGGGGCAGGACTCTGTCTGGCACTTCCCAGGTAAGGTTTGTTGTTCCTTTGCTTGTATGAAAACCTTAGTGTTTATGTGCAAATGTCATGTATTTATAGATTAGACAACCAAATTGTGTGATGGAAAAAACCTAATGAGACCACTCTGGGTCTCTGTGGTGCCAGCTCAGAACTGATTCCTACAGTATGGTGTCTAGGGCGTTGCTTCTAAATACCCCAGCAATGGAACTTAGCCTAGGATACCATGCTACAGTCTGATGATTTTTACTGTTGGGGAATTTTTCCAGATATTCATTTCAGAGTTAACTTTTTTCAGTATTTTTTTTCATAGTCACTTTTATTTGGGGTGGGAAATGTTTCTTTTCTTTTTCCTTTTTATGAACATAAATCCAAGAAACAATTATTTGAGGCCTTGGTTTACTGTTGACCACATGAGTCATTATAATGTAGTTTACCTTGGACCCTTTGTGAGGGGTTTTTTTCCTCCTGAATTTTGTTAATCACACAGATAATTTAGTAATCAAAGAAATAAAAATCACCCATGACTTCAGACCTGAAAACATCAATATTTTCATCTCTGCTGGTTCTTTTCCAGCCCTTATGTATGTGTATGTACCAATTTTTTCAAATATCTTAACAAATATTCACAGTATTTTATATTCTGGTACCTTTTCACTTTTTAGAGCAGACATTATTCATGTTGTTTAGGTAGATTTTCGTAGTTAACTTTTTAATGGCTGCATGATATTCTGTTTACTTAGCCTTTGTTTGATATTAAATTTTTTATTTTTTGCTTTTTAAGGCTTTTTTTTTTTACCATTTTCTCAACATATTTTTTTTTTTCCCCTTTTTGTCTTTTTTCGTGTCCGGCAACGGATCACAACCCTCAGTGTCGCGCCCGTACCGGACCGGGACCGGCAACGGGATCGCAACCCTCGGTGTTGCTCCCGCACCTTGCTCAGCCAGTGAGCGGGACCCGGTCTGTACGTGGGATCTGAACCCTCGGCGGGAGCGCCACCGCACTCCCAAGCGGCGCACTGTAGCAGTGCGCCACCAGGCCAGCCCCTCAACATATTTTTTTATTTTAAATTATTTATTAAAGATAAATTCCAAGGAAGGTGTACCCTGTGTCAAAGGGTATGAGCAGTTTGCCCCTCCAAAAGTTGTTTTAATTTGTATTGCCACAAGCAATGTATGAGGGTACTTCAAAAAGTTCATGAAAAATAGAATTCGAAGATAATACGAATCTTTCCATGAACTTTTTATTTTTTTTTATTTTTTATTTTTTTTCCTTTTTGTCTTTTTTCGTGACCGGTAATGGGATCGCAACCCTTGGTGTCGCGCCCGTACCGCGACTGGCAACGGGATCGCAACTCTCGGTGTCGCGCCCGCACTGAGCTCAACCAGTGAGCGGACCGGTCTCTATATGGGATCTGAACCCTCGGCGGGAGCGCTGCCATGCTCCCAAGCGCCGCACTCTACCGAGTGCGCCGCCAGGCCGGCCCTAAGCTCTGCTCTTTTAAGAATGTCTTGTTTGTCCCTGTATTTCCTAAGCTTTTCATTAAGCCTGGCATAGAGTAGGCACTAAATGTATGTTGAATGAATAAAGAGTATGCCTGTGCCTAAGAGGTTTCCATTTTGGGTAGTCACGCAGGTATTTCTTTTCATAATTGGGCTATGTTTTATTACTTTTTGTATAACTTTGAAATATAATTTTTTGTATAACTTTGTATAACTTTTTGTATAATTTTTGAAAATTTTTGATGAACTTTATCATATAGTTCTAAATCATTTGTTATTTGTGTGTTCATAGATGGTGGGGATAAGGAAATCATTGAATGAATCTCTGACTTGTGTTCCATTCTTTGGATCAATAAACATTTCTTGAGCTTCTGATATGTACCAGGCTCTGGGACAGCATTATAGCAAAGCATCCATGTAAATAACTCAGGGTGGTGTATCTCATGCTGACCAGAGATTTTTTTTTTTTTTTTTCCTTTTTGTCTTTTTTCGTGACCGGCAACGGATCGCAACCCTTGGTGTCGCTCCCGCACCTCGCTCAGCCAGTGAGCGGCCGGTCTGTATGTGGGATCCGAACCCTCGGCGGGAGCGCCGCCACGCTTCCCAAGCGGCACACTGCAGCAGTGCGCCACCGAGCCGGCCCTGACCAGAGATTTTATTCAATGTAAATAAACAGGATGTTTTGTCATATTGACTACTGGCATATCTTCCCGTCTTTGAGGTCCCTCGTAAACTTCTGCTTCAGAATGGTACCTTCTGATACATGTCTGACAGGGAGGTAGCTCAGAACGAGGAAGAATTTTGTGTTAATTAGAATTTTGGTGTAATGGAATGTGTGGATTGCATTTTCACATAGTAAATTTGCTCTTACTGGGAATATTCAGCCAGTGGTTGGATGATTGCATGTCAAGGGCTTGACATAAAGGAATCCTTTATTGGATGAGTGATAGTATCAGATGATCTCTAAGATAATGTCCAATGCTATAATCCTATTATCATTTTCAAAGAGCTAGGGACAAAACAAACAAACAAACAAACAAAGAGCTAGGGACGTTGTATTCTCATCTATGTCTTTCTTAAATAACCTCTTGAAGTTCTGTCTAATTTTTTAAATTTTATTTATTTTTTTGTCTTTTGTCTTTTTCCGTGTCCGGCAACGGATCGCAACCCTCAGTGTTGCCCCCGTACCGGACCGGGGACCGGCAACGGGATCGCAACCCTCGGCGTCACTCCCGCGCCTCGTTCAACCAGTGAGCGGGAACCGGTCCGTACGTGGGATCCGAACCCTCGGGCGGGAGCGCCGCCGCGCTTCCCAAGCGGCGCACTATCCAGTGCACCACCGGGCCGGCCCGAAGTTCTGTCTAATTTAAAAAACATTTTAGGGGGGCTGGCTGGCTAGGTTAGTTGGTTAGAACATGGTGTTGTAACACCAAGGTCAAGGGTTCAGATCCCCATACTGGCCAGCCACCAAAAAAATAAATAAATACATAAAATTATAAAAAAAAAAATTTTTTTGTTTTGAAATAATTTTAGGCTTACATGAAAATTGTAAAAATAGTAGAGTTCCCATATAGCCCCCATGTAACTTCCCCTAATGTTAGCATCTTGTATAACCATAAGTGCAATTATCAAAACCAAGAAATTAACATTGATATAATACTATTAACTAATCTATATGCATCATTTCTGTTTTACCAGTATTTTTCACTGATGTCGTTTTTTTTGGTCTGGGGTACAAATGCAGGATCCCATATTGCATTTAGTTGTCATATACTCTTAGTCTTCCACAATCTTACATTTTTTATCTTTCTTTTTTGTCTCAAGATTTTGACACTTTTGAAGAGTACTAGTCAGTTTTTTGTAGAATGTCCCACAGTTTGGGTTTGTCTAGTATTTTCTCATAATTACATTGAGATTATGCATTTCTAGCAAAAGTGATGTTGTTCCCTTCTCAGTGCATCAAATCAGGGGATACGTGATGCCAGTATATCTTATTCCTGGTGATGTTAACTTTGATCACTTGGTTTAAGTTGCGTCTGTCAGTTTTTTTCACTTTAAAGTTAGTATTTTTCTCTTTGTAATTAGTTATCTTATAAGGAGATACTTTGAGACTGTGCAGATATCCTGTTTCTCATCATATATTTTTGCTCACTAATTTAAGCAGCCACTGATGGTTCTTTTTTCTTTTTAATGATAGATTAATTTTTTTATTGTGGTGATAAACACATAACATTACATTTACCGTCTTAACAGCTTTTAAATGTACAGTTCAGTAGTGTTAGGTATATTCATTCACATTGTTGTCCAACAGTTCTCTAGAACTTCTCCATCTTTCAAAAACTCTATGCATAAACTCTATGCTAATTCCCTTTCCCCTTACCCTAGCCTTTGGCAACCACCTTTCTACTTACTGTTTCTTTGATTTTGGGTACTTTATTTATTTATTTATTTATTTTTTGTGACCGGTAAGGGGATCGCAACCCCTGGCGCGGTGTCGCCCGCACCATAAGGGGATTGCAACCCCTGGCCCGGTGTCGCTCGCACCGCGCTCAGCCAGTGAGCGCACTGGTCATCCCCATACAGGATCCGAAGCTGCAACGGGAGCGCCACACTCTCCCGAGTGAGCCACAGGGTCAGATACTTCATATGACTGGAATCATGAAGTATTTGTTCTTTTGTGACTGGCTTAGAATAATGTCCTCGAGGTACATCCATGTTGTAGTATGTGACACGATATTCTTTTTTTTTTTTTTTTTTTTTTTTTTTTTTTTTTTTTTTTTTTTTTTTTTTTTTTAAAA